GGGGGGAGGGGGGAGGGTGGAGGGCGGGGTGGGTGCAGGGAGGCGCTCGCTCCCTCCTGCGCAGGCCTGGGCCCGTGGTGGTGGGCGCCGGCCCGCCGGGCGAGTCCTGACCCGGCACGAGCAGCCTTCCCATCCTTGCTCCCCAGCCTCCTGGAAGCCCTTCCTTGTACCGGCCGGTACCCCCCGTCCCCTTCCCTAAATCTGGGGACTGAGGCCGGCATCTCGGGCCTGGCCAGGAAGAGCGAGCGCCCCGGCATCGAGAGTTGGGTCCTCATTTGGAATCACTTCTTCAAACTTTCCGGGAGCTCCTGTCACGTGCCCGCCGCCTCCGGCCTGGGATCCCCTACCCCGGGCGCCGGATGGTGCCTGTGGAGGTGTCAGGGCGCCTTCGGGGCACGGAGCTTTGTGCAGCGAGCAGGGGCGCGCGGAGGCCGGGACCACACACGACTCGGGAAGCTCCTGGGGGAGGGGGTGCGCCAAGGCCCCCGCAATATTGAGACAGAGTTACCGCTGTGTGTCACGGCCGGGCACCCAACAAGGACTGAATGATTGAATGAATGGTTACTACGTGGGCTGAGAGAGGTTAAACAGTAAACAATAAAGCGCTGTGGGCGCGCGGGGGGAGGTGAGGAATACGATAAGAGAAGGGAGGATGGGGAACGTTCCTTACATAAAGATCATTCATCACTATTGGGCAGCGTCGGACCTTGTGCTGGGCGCTTGTGCCCGAAGGGGACAAAGAGGCAGCACGGGGGTTGTGTGTGTGTGTGTCGTGGTGGGGACACAGAGCAGAGGAGCTTTCCTGGCTCCCTGAAAAAGGTGGGTCCAGCCTACGCCGCGAGGGATGGGGAGGCTTTGGTAACGCTGAGAGAGACGGCACAAGTGAGTAGTCGAGGTGGGCAGGACCTGTTTTAAGGCTTTTTTTCCCCCCTAAGGTTTTCAATCCCGCGGGCAGTGGGGAGACTCTTTTAGAGGAGGGTTTAAGCAGGGGAGAGACATGATTGCACTTGCGTTTTTGAAAGATGCCCCTGGCTGCCGCGTGGGAGGGGACAGGGAGGTTGAGACGGGAGGGAAGGCTGGTAAAAATCATCCTGGCAAGATGTCAGTGGCCAGGACCAGGTTTTTGGCAATAGGATAGGGAGCAGAAAGTGAACTTAAAAGAGATTTAGAAAATGGGATTGTGAGGATTTGTGGTGGGGGTTGGGTCTTGAAGGATCTGTTGACTTTTTTGAAGAAGGTGGTGGCAGGGGGTGGTGGTGGTGTGTCAAAGACAGAGACTATGGAAAACCCAGAGGATGTTAGGTAAGGAGTTCCCCCGTGTGTGATGCTCGTGTGTGTGTGTGTGCGTGCATGTGTGTGTGTGTGCATGTGTGTGTGTGTATTCTTCTAGATGGAGTCTCAGGGGAAGGGTGCAGCTGGAACACAGAAGCCCCTAGTATCAAATGGAGGAGTCAGGGCTTTATTTTGCTAGTGGTGGGAGCCATGGAACGTTACTGTGTAGGACTGCGTATATCATGGCCCTTGCAGCATTTGGGCACAGGTTGTGCGTGGAGGATATTCTGAACTTTGACCATCCTCCCCTCCATCCTTCCAAGGTCAGGGGCTGCAGACTCTGGCTCCAGGCCACCTGCAGGATGAGCCTTGCCACTGGAGAACAGGTGTTGATGGCAAGGGCCTCTCCCTCTCTCTTCAGGGTCTGGAGCAGCCCTCTTTCAACATGGGGCTGGAGGCCCAGAGGCTGCCAGGTGCTGAGGAGGCCCCAGTGAGGGTGGCCCTGAGAGTCCGTCCACTGCTGCCCAAGGAGCTGCTGCATGGGCATCAGAGCTGCCTGCAGGTGGAGCCAGGGGAGGGCCGTGTCACTCTGGGCCACAACCGTCACTTTGGCTTCCATGTGGTGCTGGCTGAAGACACCGGGCAGGAGGCCGTGTACCAGGCCTGTGTGCAGCCCCTCCTCGAGGCTTTCTTTGAGGGCTTCAATGCCACTGTCTTTGCCTACGGTCAGACGGGCTCTGGGAAGACATACACCATGGGGGAGGCCAGTGTAGGTGAGTGATGCTGCTCATTGCCCCGTGCCCCCTGAGGACCTCAGTGTATTCCTGAATTTCTGTCCCTGCCCTCCTGCTGCCTGCCGTTCCCTGTTGAAGATGAGGATTCTGGGGGAGGACAGCAGATTTCCTAGAGAGATCTGCAGCTCAGGATTGGACCAGCAATGTCAGTGGGCTGGGCAGGGCAGGAAGGAAGGGTCCTTGAAGATGTGACCTTCTCAACTCAACAGAGGTGGGGCCACACTGCCTGGTTCTGGGAACCTCAGGGGAGGAAGAGCACTGGAAGTTGGTGTGGCAACCACTAGAGGTTGCCAGGATGGCTACCGAGGGTCCAGGAATCTGTGTTCTAGTCAGAGCAGTTGGATATGGTCACTGTCCTGGAGATGTGGCTTTGGCTGCTGCTTAGCAGGGTTGCAGGCTGGTACGGTGAGACTCTGGGGCAGAGTTTTGAGAAAGATGCTTTGGGCCAAAATGCATGAAGTAACATGAACTGCTTTCTCTTAGGTTACTGTCTTAGTCTACCAGAATACCATAGACTGGGTGGTTTATAAACCACAGAAATTTATTCCTCAAAATTCTGGATGCTGGGAAGTCCAAAATCAAGGTGCAGGCAGATTCTAGGGTTGCTTCCTCATAGATAGCCTCCTGTTCTCTCTAACCTCATGTGGTGGAAGGGACAAGGACTCTCTTGTTTCAGGCCTCTTTTATAAGGGCACTAATCCCATTCATGAGGGCTCCACCCCCATGACCTAATCACCTCCCAAAGACCCCCACTTCCTAATACCAGCACATTGGAGGGGACAATTTCAACATATGAATTTTGGAGGGACCTAAACATTCAGACCATAGCAGTTACAAATGCATACTTGTTTGCTGTAGAAAATTAGGGAAATACAGAAAAACACATGAAAATAAAACTTACCTGATAATTGTTTTTCAGAAATCATTCACCCTGTTAGCACTCTTTCTCTGTGCTTAAAAAAAAAAAAGGGATATTATACCCATTCTTTTATATCTTGTTTTATTTTCTTAACAATAGATCATAAATAAACATTTCTCTGTATCATTGAATATTCTTCATTGTAATATTTTAATGGCTGCCTGGCATTCCTTTGTGAGTATAGTTTGTTTAACCAGGTCTCCTATTCGATGTTAGGATGGACATGCTTATTACTTATTTGGCATAAATTTAGGAGGCCCTTCTGTTAACTGAGCATGGACTGTGGTAATGAACTTCCTGTCCTAGGGACTAATCAAGCCAAGGGTATCTGGTAATCTGTTAGGGATACAGTGAAGGGGATCCTTTCATCATGAAAGGGGTTGATTGAACAAGAGAGGTTACTTCCAACTCTTAAATTCTTTAATGCTGCCTGATCACCCAGGAGAATGGCCTGGCTGAGGCTGCCCATCCCAACCTGGCCTGCACAGCCGCCTTCTCCATCCTAAAGCCCCATCCTCCAGCTGTTGGCAGAGGCTTAGGGGCCTCAGGCGTGTCCAGCTGAAGGCATGGTGGCAAAAGGACCTGTGGTGTCTCCCCAGCCTCCCTCCATGAGGATGAGCAAGGCATCATCCCCAGGGCCATGGCCGAGGCCTTCAAGCTTATTGATGAGAACGACCTGCTTGACTGTCTGGTGCACGTGTCCTACCTGGAAGTGTACAAGGAGGAGTTCCGAGACCTGCTGGAGGTGGGCACCGCCAGCCGTGACATCCAGCTTCGGGAAGATGATCGCGGGAATGTTGGTGAGGAACTCCGAGGTCCTTTCCTGACTGAGTGGGGCACCTGGCTCGGGCAGGCTTCACCTCTTCTGTGAGGGTGGCTTACCTGTCTGGGAGGGGCACCTCGTCATGGAAAATCCAAGCCCTGGAGGTTTTGCTTTAGCTTCCTCTGCCTCCACCAAGTCCAGTATATACACAGAGTGAGAGGCATTGAGGTGGGCATGGGGGGAAGCCCAAACCAGGTTGGGCAGAACCCCTTGGGCACAGGGGGAGGGGCCTGGGTCAAGAAGAGCAGGTGGAGGGCTAGTCCTGCTCTGCCCGCCCTCCCGGCTGGTCAGTCCGGGCTGCGCCTGCCTCGGCGCTCACAGTCTTCTGTGCCCGCAGTGCTGTGTGGGGTCAAGGAGGTGGACGTGGAGGGCCTGGACGAGGTGCTGAGCCTCCTGGAGATGGGCAACGCGGCGCGGCACACGGGGGCCACGCATCTCAACCGCCTCTCCAGCCGCTCGCACACGGTCTTCACCGTGACCCTGGAGCAGCGGGGGCGTGCCCCCAGCCGCCTGCCGCGACCCGCCGTGGGCCAGCTGCTTGTCTCCAAGTTCCACTTCGTGGACCTGGCGGGCTCAGAGAGGGTGCTCAAGACTGGCAGCACGGGCGAGCGGCTCAAGGAGAGCATCCAGATCAACAGCAGCCTCCTGGCGCTGGGCAACGTCATCAGCGCCCTGGGGGACCCCCAGCGCCGAGGCAGCCACATCCCCTACCGCGACTCCAAGATCACCCGGTGAGCCGCCCCGGGCTTCTGTCCGGCCTGGGGTCGAGGGGAGTGTTGGGCCCGCGAATAGTGGGTGGGAACCCTTCTGACTTCTGGTGCGCGCCGGCCACAGGAAGCCAGAAGGAGGAGCCATTCCGGGGTCTGGCCCGCCGGCCCTGGTCCTGGCGCGTTGGGTTCCTGACGCGCCTCGCCCTCGCGCCCTCAGGATCCTCAAAGATTCGCTGGGCGGGAACGCCAAGACCGTGATGATCGCCTGCGTCAGCCCCTCCTCCGCCGACTTCGATGAAACCCTCAACACCCCCAACTACGCCAGCCGCGCCCAGAACATCCGCAACCGCGCCACCGTCAGCTGGAGGCCCGAGGCCGAGCGGGCCCCCGAGGAGGCGACGGCCGGCGCGCG